TGTTTTCAAAGGAGGAATTCCTCATTTTTAAATAGCTTTTTAGAAGTGTATATAGCAGCAGTATGGTACAAAGATGAGTATTTTCTTTTCACAGTACACACAAGTTAGTATTGCCACTGAGAATATGCATTAAACAAATGCCCTGAAAAACAGCATTCGCTCTGTATTACTGATCCACCCAGAGGGTTCATAAACCTCAATAAATTCAATACCCAGAATTTAAATAATAAAACTGGAAAGTGTCAGGTATCATTCCAGAATTGGAATTACAGTAGATCCCACATTTTCCCCAACACTGGCACTTTGCCAGGCAGGTGCATGCTGCTCTATATACAGAACAAAAACCCCAGAAGCAAATACATTTTATATTAAATATACATAAATAGCAGGAGTGTGACTGGAGAGCCATGCTTGCATTAATACTGAGTCTGTGCTGGCAGAGTCCTTCACCAAACACGGGGACAGGTGAGTCCTTCCAGACCCATCCATCGCCTGGCTGGGGTTGAGCAGGATCTGTCCCAAACCCAGCCCTGCTGGGGGCACAGGGATGGATGCACACTGGGAACAGGGGGAGTCACAGCTTCTTCACCTTGTCTTTGTTCTTCTGCAGTTTAGTGTGCACCACCTTGAGAGTAGTGAGGAAGTTCCCGAGGAAGAGCAGCAGGAATGTGAAAGCCAACACAAAAACCTGAAAAGGGAGAGGAAGCAGCATTTATTACCTGGTAATATTACAGCATGGATTACATTCAGCACTGCTGGGCTCTACCAGACACAGGCTCTGTGCTGCATTATCCTGAGATATTTAAATGGAGTCAGACGCCCAAATATCTTTCAGGATGTGGTCAAGCATCCCCTCTGCCCTGCTCTGTGCTTCTTCTGAGCAGAGCCAACACACACCTGCCATTCTTTGCATTCCTTGTGCCTTGACAATCTGAAAAGCGTGATTGCATTGTATAGCTGCCAGAACTGCAAAGGGGAAAAGAAAAAGGCAATTTAATTACGAGAAAAAATAATTAAGCCTTGGAAACATTTGTCATGGCTGTGTGTGACCCAAAGCATCTTTGGGTGGTGCAGGCACTGCGCCACAGAGGGAGGAGGGGATCACCCAACTTACATGCCCAAAGAACAAGAAGGGAAGGAGAAACGTCAGCCCCCGCCACATCCAGGACTGGAATCCTTCTGGAAAAGGTTGACAGAAGAGGCAGAGCATGAGCACAGAAGAGCCAGTACTGGACCTGCAGCTCCTCTCCACCCAGCTCACCCCATAAGGGCTATTCCTGTCAAGCAAAAATATTTGCTTGAAACTGCGGCAGTTGGAGGAGGATAAAGTTGGGGATTACCAAAATCTCCATCTTAGTCTCCTCAAATGCTGACAAAGATCAGATTCCTTTCCTGACCCACAGGACCCAAGCACAGGGATAAAAGTCTTGCTGCCCTTCCTGCCTTGGGACACAGGCAGCCAGGCAGGGGACAGCTCTGCAATGGACAGGCACACAGCCCTCTCCCTCCCTATCACTGCACCCAAAACCTGTGCAAAGCAGTACAAAGAAAGCGTAGCAGGAGACCTCACCTACTGTAAGGTCCAAGTGGTTTCTCTCCCCTAAAGCTCGGAGCCTATAGAGGCAGCCCCTTTGGTAATAATACTGTAAGAACTGAACACAGCCTGCAGAAGGAGAGAGAAAACATAACTCCATTGGTTATTCAGAAGTATAGTAAGTATCAAATTACTTTAATAATGTTTAATCCAACAGCATTTAATTATTGCTTATATTTGTAGATTGCCTAGTTGTACACTATCTTTATATTCCTACAGTTTAATATTCCAGTATTTACCAAATGAAAGTGTTTTCTTCTAAGCATGTATGACACAAAATTACTTTATTCCCCGAATTAGCAAAGTAAGATATACTCACTCTGAAATATTGAAAATGCTAAAAATTGACTGCGAAACATCTGATACATGAGTCCATCCGGCCTGGAAGCAGAACATGGGGAGGTCCATTAATCTGCTAAAAGCATCCAATGCATCCAACCCTTCCCCTTCACCACCAGGCCTGATCCCATTAGCAAATGAACCAGCAGCTGGTGCCCACCCATTCCACCCACTGGGAGCCCAGAGAGGTGCTACAGCCACACAGGAAGTGCTCTCATTGATTAGGTTTCCCCTCTCCAAAAGGATAAATGCTGTCCCCTCTTATCCTTCCACCAGCACCCACTGCAAGGGGGTAACTTCAATTTTTGGCTTTAAATTCTCTAATCAAGGCTCAGTTAAGGCACCAAACACTCTTTTTGTGGTATCCCTCCTCTATAGTAAAGTGCTGCTTGTTTCCTTAAGTACAGAAACTGGGAGACTTGCAGAGATTTTGCTATCACCAGCCCAACTACAGTCACAGGGTTTGCATTTCTTTCTTGTTTTTAACCAGCAATGTAAATACAACCTTGCAGTGTTGTATTTATCATTGAAAACATCTGTAACATCAAACAAATATTAAGGCTGACACGCTGCCATGTGTCCTGTGGCCACAGCTTCGTGGTCACACTGGATTTAAATGCTCAGATGATATAAACACCATGAAACAGGCTTGAAGCACCTCGAATAGGCAAGAGCAGACTCACCATGTTAACATCACTCCAGACAGGAATGTGGAAACGTAGTGATGAGACACCCACCAGCCTTTGATCCTGAGCAGAAAAGAAAACATGGCAGTTAGACAAGAAACATGGATTTCAGCATTGAAGTCCATCCTTACAGGCAAAAAATGATCCAAAAATGGGAACAAAGTAGATGTCCCAACTCAAGCACAAGGGATGCTGTGGCGTTTCCAACCAAAGATGTATGACCTCTAACACAAGGCAGCCCACACACCCCACACCACATCTACAACTAACCTACAGCTACCAAAACCAGCCAACATCTTGGACCAATAACTTAGGGACTCTTAGGAACTGCAACTGCTCTCTGCCCAAACCTCAGGTGGCCACATGTGGCCTTGGAAGTGACCTGGGAGGAGGAGAGAGACAAGAGCTCTGCAGAGAGGCCATGAGCATCTCAGATTTGCTAGGCTTCAGTGCCAAGCTCAATCCTTTTTTGTTGCCTGGTTTTCTTTAAGGACATTTCATGCTTTCCATGGTTTTTGCAGGTGGCACTGTACCTTGAACCATTGCTAATGAGAATGCTTTCCCGTATCGTCAGCGTGCAGTAATACCACACCAACAGAAAGTTAAACACTTCATCTGTCACCCTGTTAAACACAAAAAACACAGAGTAAAAAACCCTCTTGTTAATTATAAAGACACATTTCAAAAATCCCTCTTTTCCCTTTTTCCTCCTGGGTAGATGAAAACCCAGTGAGTGCCCCAGTGAGGCTATGGACAAAAAGTCCCATCCTGAACATCTGCAACCCACATGCAGCACTGCCAGGCTCCAGGCTCTTTTCCCTGGGATCCACCACTGCAGATCCTGAGCTGATAAGCAGGTATGCAGGGACGACATTAAGTGCTGCTCAAGGAGAGAAAGCACCACAGAAGCAGCAGATGATCCAATTTAGAGAGGCCTTTCCAGGCTAATTCAATGAGGAGATTCTGTGAGATCTATATAAATCAAATCAACTAAAAGAATGGAAGACCATTATGCTCTGGTACAAAAAAATTAAAACACTAAAATTTTTTTTTGCCATTTGCAAACTGCTGAAGCCAAGGGGACTTGGGGCAGCCTCTGTACAGGGCAGCATTGTTCCTGGTACAATCCTGCATTCACTCAGACACACAGAGACCATAGTGAAAGCACTACGCCTCCAACACCTTCCTGGTTTTTAAGCAAAACTGAATAGTGGAAGCTTGTTGGTGCTCAGACACTTTATCACAACCTAGAGGTAATGTTTCAGGTCTGATTATTTCACGTAAATTCTCCTTTGTTGTTTTTTTTTACCCCCAGAACTACAGCACAGTGTTGGTCTCTGCCTGGGACAAACCACAAGCACAACCAACTGTTCATTCCCAATGACAGCACGATGCCAGAATAACAACATCAATTTTTAGCATCATCAGGAAACGTGATGTTGGACTTTCCTTTTAAAAAGGAAAAACAGTGAGCTAAAATACATCTCCTGACAGAGCTGAAGAAGTGCAGGTCCTGCTGCCCAACTGTTCAAAGCCTAAACACCACCTGAGCTTAACTGTAGATCTCCTGTCCTTAACAGTAGATAAGATAATTCAAACCCAGCACAATTTTATGCAAAATACTTGATAAGAAATAAAAATATAGCTTACCTGTAGTGGAGAAAAAACCTGCAGGCGACAGCCCCAAGTAACAAGATTATTGTCAGATAAAGTTTGAACTTCTCATACTCATCTTTGTAGGCAAACCTGGAAGGAAACAGGCGCCATTTGTGGACACAAACAGATGTTTGACTGGAATATGGCTTAACCTTTTCCAAACCACATACAAAGACAAATGCCAAGCCCAGAGACAGAGGTTTTACTGAAACACTTAGAAAAGCTGTGGACAGTGGTGAAAGGCAGTGTTCTGCCTGCAGGAAGGGTCTGCCTCAGCTGCAACACAATGCCTTAAGTCCATCAGAGCTGGTTTCTGGGTTAGCATGACAAGATTTAAAAAATACATATATATCTTGATTTTCTGGAGCACTGTATGCCTAGAAGTCACAGTGTCATTTTTCAGCACAAAAAACTCTAAACACTTTTACAATTAAAGCCACAGGCTGAGCTGGGCTTAAAAGCAAGCAATAAATGGAATTAATTAGAGCTACATAAGATGTTAGCTTATCCCTGTGTCATAGTCCAATCATCCACCCTCAACATTTCACTCATCAGGTCTAAGAGAAACCCATTCCCCTTTCTGGGCTTCAGTCCACACCCATAGCTGGCCCCACACAACCCCAAACTCACACATGTGGGAGGCTCACTCACTTTGCCTGGTTGCTCAAGAGAGTGACATTCACATTTCCCAGCACCAGATTTAAGTACAGGCTGGAAGACAAAAGCCAAGAGCAGACTCAAGTCAGTTGTTTTATTTGAACAGGATGATCTAGATTGAGGTGATGAGACAGTGGCTCTGCCAAAGCCACATTTGATGGAGGTTTTTAATCAAGACAAATTAAAAAGACTACAGAAAGGGCTTTATACATGGAAATATTGGTCAACATTTCTAGTAAGTTACTGAAAAGGCTTATTTTCCTGGCCCCTTTTTTGCACTACAGTCTACGTAGTGTGCACTGTCCAAACCCAAACACAGGGAGGATTTGGAAGAGATGTTTCTAAAGGAAACTTCTGAGGGGCTGCAGCATCACACAGCCCTTGACAATTGAAATAACTCTGTCCTAGCAACCCCATTTGAAGCAAAAGTTAAAGTTGGTTAAAAATATTATTAAAAAGAGAGAAAAGTCTTGTTCTGATTCAGCCTGCAAAAAAAAATTAGCCCAAGAAAACATTAGTGTGGAACAGTGAACTGCACAATCCCTTGCCAGTGCAGGTTACTGTCATTTTAACAGAAAACCTGCACTGCCCACACACATTTACATCCACTCACAGCTAATGAATTCTGTGTACAACTGACACAGCAGCTCAGCAAGAGATTTATGACTAATCCAATTTTACATGTCTTTCTTCAACCTTTTCCTTCAGGAACAAAGCACTGTGAACATTTAAAAATCCAAAATTCCTGGAGGACACAAGCATCCCTGGTGGAGCACGTACCCATTCCTCTTGGGCAGGTAGGCTTCCATGTCAAAGAAGGCATTCTGCCTCTCCTTGATCTGGCTGCTGATCTCCTGAATGAGAGCAAACTCCTCAGAACTCGCTCTTGGCTTGCACCTGCAAGAATACAGAAACAAGATATTCCTGTTCATGTTTTCACCTCCGTTTTATTTGAAGGAAAATAATGTCATAAAATCCAGCCTGTTAAAAAGCTGGCTCTGTGAGCTGACAAGCTTTGCTCCTGTATTTCTGAGGATTTGGCTTATCATAACTTTATTTCATTGCCAGGTTTATGCTGCTGTAGGTTATTGCACCAGTTGGTTTATAAATCAGCTTCTCTTTTCACTAGCTCAGTGACAGGATCGTGTGGGAATACTGTGCTTTTCTGAAGGAACTCCCTCCACCCTGGGAACTCTGTGCATGGTTTCAGGCACTGCCCTTGCAGAGGCTGAAGCTCTTCAGGTATGAAGTAATTCAGGATGTAACAGGACACAGAGCTGATGATTTACTGACAAACTGTGGTTTTAGTAATTAATGTTAACCAGAGAGCAGTGAGCAGCAGAGCCAGCAGCCTGCGGTGTCAGAGGTGCTGTACTCAGGCCTGCACACAAGGAATTCAGCCCATGGCTCCTGGGATCAGCCAAGCAGCCAGAGACAGTTCTTTATTTACAGGGCTCCCTCTGCCATGCAGTGGTGAACACTCTACTTGGCTGCAATATGGAACAACTTTAGCACTGCAACATAGATTTTCCAGTAAAAGTACTATAAATCCAAGCATTTCAGCCCTTGGGAAGGAGAACTATCCCATCCCTGCCTCCTCCACCCTCCAGGTCTCCTGTTACCGCTGCAGGCTGTGCTTCAGATCCCTCAGTGTCTTCTTCTGCCGGTGTATGGAGCTGCTGCAGGCTGTCTGCAAGCTGGTGACTTCTTCTAGTTTCTGCCTGTAAACTTTGTGTGTTTCCTGCAGGAAAAGAGGAGATGGCTGGTAGGAAGAGCCCTAATTCATGGCATTTGGTCCTCACCTCCAAGGGAAACAAGGAAGATCCTGGTTTTATGGGATACAACAGGCACCCCTTTAACAAACAAGGAGGGGGAGATGCCAAACCAGTACAGATACAATAGGGCTTAAATGGACACTGATGAAATTCCTGCAAGAGGACAAACATCCTCTACACTCATCTCATTTCCTCTTTAAAGAGCTTTCCCACTCAGGAGCTTCTCACTCTCATCCCACCCTGCAATGAAGCCCCTAATCCTTGAATTCCCTAATCCTCCATTTGATCCTGATCCATGCCCATCAAATGGTGGCTAAATCACAGAGCAGGCACTCCAATTTCACAGCCAGATTAAATCTTGGAGAAAATCAATGAGAACCTAACAGAGTGGGGGAGGGAGGGGAAAGACAACACCAGGCATAAATCCATGGCTAGGGGTTTAGGCACCTCCTGGCCATCACTGCCATCCCAACCCTATGGATATTCAAGCAACCTACTGCCCCATATCCTGGTTTAAAGAGCTGATGTCCCTGTCTGTGGCCTCAGACGCTCGCTGGGAGGAACTGCTTTATCACAGCTCATTGGTCCCCTGAAGCCCCCAATTCGTGCTCAGCCATTACGAGGACACGCTCACCAACTGGAAACCCATTGAGAGGAGCCTCTGCTCTCACCCCTCCCTGCACTCAGGGATACCCAGACTCTGTTCTTCCTCCCTCTGCAAGGATTTCACCCCCTTCCCCATGAAGGAGGCCTCAGGAAGGACTCCCCAAGCACCAAGCAATGACATCTGAGCCAATTTTAAGACCTATAATAAGATGGAAAGCAGAGTTTGCAGAGTTAGTGCCAAGAAACAGTGTGGGTTACACGGCTGCTTCACCTACCAGCACACCAACAACCACAGGAAATTCCCACTGCTCTTCCCAGAGCATGAACATGGTGGTGAAAGCACACAAACCAAATCTTTGCTCTTCTCCTTGCTAGGACCCACCTGGTAGCTGTTCTTTATCTACAAGAACAATCCAAACCAGGCTCCAGTGTCTGATTTAAAGACCTTGATAACCAAACTAACCCTGTACAGGCACTGCAGCTCTCATGTTTGAGGCTCACTTTGGTTTTGATGAACACACCTTTACAGCACTAATTCCTGCTCAATGACACCTCGACCACCAGCAGCTGCCACCCCACCAAAAAGGGTGGCAAAGTGTTTCTACTTTCCTTTTCTAGGTGGGGAAGCTGAGGCAGGGAAAATCACTGCCATTGACTGTGGTTTAGGTCAGACTCAGGCAGGGAGCTTGTTGAGAAGGCGCACACAGCAAACGAGTGACCAACAAAACCACAGCAGCTGGTCTCCCCCAGCATCCAACTCTTGTTTCTGCTAACAGGAGTACAACCTGAACTGATTTTTAATTAAGAAACAAACTAAATCTGGAAATCACACTTTTTTTTTCAAATGCACATTCTGCTTAACTATCTAAAAGAGGCTAAAACAGCCTCCAGAGTGAGAACGGCTTTTGAAACTGGCTTTAAGATTTAAAGCACATGTATAGGTGCAGCACTGATGACAAGCAGAGAAGGAAGGGAAGTTTTCTGGAGGTAAAAGCATCTTGTAGAACAGCTCTTGGCCCCCATTCCGAGGCCCTTCTGTCCCTCAGTGCACTTTTGCAAGATGGAAAAACAGCACTTGAACCCTTCGTATCCCACCAGAGGAGATCAAACTCCGCCAGGAGATGCTGGCGGGACAAGCGCTGCCTGCACTGCTCCTTGCACCACTCCATGGGTGCACAACAGCCCCGCGTCCCCTTTTCCCACCCTCGTTGGAGCAGCGGGAACCGCGGCACCACATCCTGGTGCATCCTCAGAGGGAGCTGAGGCACGGCCGCGGCTCGGTCTGGGCTGTCCCATGCGCTCGCACCCGGGGCACGGGCTGTGGGTGGGGGCCGTGCAGGCATGCACATCCTCCGTACGGACACAGCACCGAGCACGCTTGGCCACCCCGGGCGGGGGCGAGCCCGTCCGCACCTCCGGCTGCACCCGCCGAGCCGCCCCGGGGATGCGGCCGGCGGTGGAGACCCCCGGTGCCGCTCCTGCCGGGCGGGGCGAGCCGGGGGCCGACCCCGCAGCGCGGGGGAAGCCGGGTCCGCGCAGGCGGGGGATGCACCGGGATGCACCGGGATGCACCGCGCTGCCCCGCAGGGCCCCGCCGGCCCCCGCTCACCTGGAGCTGCCGGAACTCCTCCTCCAGCTCCCGCCACTCGCCGCGGCACCGCTCCAGCTGGGCCCGCATGGCGCGGGGCCGCGCCGCTCCCGCGCCCCGCGCGCGCCCGCCGCCCGCACCCCCGCGCCGCCTGCGCCGCTGACGTCACCGCGCGCGGTCATGGGCGCGGCCCCGCCCCCCCACACCCCCCTCCTGAGGGGAGGAACCCGTCAGGTGAGGGAGCGCTCCGGTCTGTGCTCCCCTCGGCCCGGAGAGCCCCTCCGGTCAAGGCTCCCCTCAGGTGCGGGATCCTCTCCCGTGATGTGCCCCCTCAGGCCCGGGATCCCCTCCTGTGATGTCCCCCTCAGGCCCGGGATCCTCTCCCGTGATGTCCCCCTCAGGCCCTTGATCCCCTCCTGTGATGTCCCACTCAGTCCCGGGATCCCCTCCTGTGATGATCCCCCTCAGGCCCGGGATCCCCTTCCGTGATGTCCCCCTCAGGCCCGGGATCCCCTCCCGTTAAGTCCCCCTCAGGCCCGGGATCCCCTCCCGTGATGTCCCCCTCAGGCCCGGGATCCCCTCCTGTGATGTCCCCCTCAGGCCCGGGATCCCCTCCTGTGATGTCCCCCTCAGGCCCGGGATCCCCTCCCGTGATGTCCCCCTCAGGCCCGGGATCCTCTCCCATGGTGTTCCCCCTCGGGGGCGGCTCCTTCAGGCCTGTGTTCTCCTCAGGTCAAAGCTCCCCTCAGACGGGGAGGGTTTGCTCTGCTGCTGTCACCTGCCCTGCCCAGGTCACCTCCTGGGGACCTCGAACCTCTCCTGAGCTCCCTTGTGTTGTGGCAGCACAGTGGTGTGACATGGAAGCATCTTCCTGCCCTTTAAGGGTAGTTCATCACACATGGAGCTGAGAGTGGAGATAAAATCCTCCACTGCACAGGGCCAGCCCCCTCAGAGAGACCTGGTGGCTGAATCTGAGGCAGCTCAGCCCTGCAGCTGCCTGGACCTTGGTCAGAGGTCCTTGGTATCAGAGAAGATGACAAGAGGATTCCTGATGTCTTTATTTTTACAATAATTACCCACTCAGCAGCTGGGCTGGCCAGCTGTGAGCTGGGCCTGATGTTCTGGGGCAGGGTGGGAAGAGTTGTAAATGTTGACACCCATCCTGTGAGTTTCTTGTGCAAGGGTAGAAATTGGCAAAGAGGAAGAAAAAAGGAATGGGGAAGGAAGCAATTAAAAAAAAAAAAAGGTACAAGGGAGAGGAGAGGGGAGGAATGAAGCCAGAGTGAAAACACAAATGCAATGCTGTCTTTTCATTATGTAGGATTTTTTCTCTATGTATGTCTTTTCACTATGTAGGATCCTGTTTCCTTGAATTTCACAGAAACAACCAAAAACGTTGGGTGTAGAGATCACTGTTCTTGCTGTTCCTGGTCCTTCTCTAGGTCCACTGTTTGACTTTTTGTGTGGGTTTTTTTCATACATTTGTGGGTGGAGACCTGAAATGCTGTTGATGACCTTCTGCATTCAGTTTCCAGAGAAACCCTCTCAGAACTTGCAGTGGTTTGGGATTTCTGCTGGTTTAAGAACCACCAGCCCCAGGGATGTTGCATTGTCCCTGCTGCTTCTCCGGTGAGGCCATGATTGTCCAGAGATCAAACACGTGTTGTGGCAGTCTTGCTAATCCTGAAGTAGAAAAATAAACTAATCAAGATAATAAAAATGTCACAGGAATTTGTTATATTAAATTTTTCCTGGATTCTAGCATTTGTCCACGATCCTATGTAACAGGACTTTATGTTACAGGAGGCCTGGATTTTGGATTACAGACTTTAGAAGAAGGAGGATCACATCTCGGATCACATCTCAGATCAGAGCATTAACTCTGCGCTGGATATGTGCCAAAACGTTCCAGTTCACCACAAGGTTGGAATAGTCCCTGCCAGCAAAGTTATTTTTCCTTCCCACATGAAAACATTCCCTCCACCTTTGCAGTTCTCTGTCAGCTCAGTTTATCACAGAGTTTTTTCCCCCTGAGATGTAGCTGCATCTTACCCCTTGCTGTTGAGGTTGGGGTGCTGACACCTTCCTGCAGATCTGGAGGAATCCAGAAAGGAAAAACACTTCAACATTTGTAGGATTGCTTGTGTCAGTTCAGGAAAAGGTGCTTTTAGAAGACATCATAAATTGTCAATCCCTTAAAAGTATTCCTTTCGCTGCTGATCTGTAAGCCTCAAAAGAGCAGAAGGAAACTCTTATCAGGCATGAATATTTGTCCTGGGCTGGAATTCTGCAGGCTGATGACATTCCATTAGGGCTGTGGTTGGTGTTTCACATACAAAGGCAGGAAATGTTGTGCATTTCCCACTCAGAGCCCTGCTGTGCCGGCCCCAGAGCTCTCTCAGAACACCAAGGGATTTATCCCAAACTTCCTACCTCTCCCCTACACCTCTTGACAAGGAACAATTCTTACACATGTTGTGGCTGTGCATAATGATTACCTCAAAAGATTTCTTTCAACTTTTTAACTAAGCCATGCTAATTAATATTCATCCAAGAAATCTGCATTTTCTTTCAAAAAGAAATCACAAAAACATTTAGTTAAGCACAAACAATGGGAGTGTAGCAGGGCCTTACAGCTGGTTCTGCATTATTTAACTTTGCACCATTACAAAATACTTCAGAATTACCTGTAAGCTCTCCCCACCCCCTGGGAGGCTGTAGTTCTTTGCATAATCTCATTATTTCAATCACATCCTTGTGAACAAAACTAAAGCAAGCTGAGATAACAGTGATCCCCTCAGCCCTGGATGGGGAGCAGGGCTCTGTGCAGCTGATGCTCCGGGCTCCCACACTTTGCCTGTCTTTCACTTGTGGCAACACATGAGGAATGGTGCTTTTCCTCTGAATTTCAATATTTTATGATCATTTTTCAAGGTATCTTGCAAGTTTTAATGGCTGTCTTCTGCTGCCAGAGATCACCTAAGGCCATTGCACAGCAAATTTACAAACATGAAATCTCTGGTTTGCCTTTACCTTAATTAATCCCCAACTCACCAACCTTTCACTTCCAGAAAACGTATCTAAGAAATTGAGTTAATAAATCAAGTTAAGGATCACAGTGAAATGGTGACTGTTCTCTGGATGTTAGATTTTGTTTGAGTACACATAGTTCTATGTATAGTCACATGTGAGCTCCTTTTCTTCACCCTTCAGACTATTCCTGAATGCAAATTCCATTCATTCTTCCCTCTTAAGATAATTGAGGCTGTTTCCTTTGATGCTTTTCCCCTGTCCTAGAAATGCAGATTCTTTCCAGCACAGCAAATGAGAAAGGACAAAATATAAATGTAGATGAGTCTCTATTCTAACACCAGGTGACAATAAGCCATGATAAATAGAATACTTGGCATGTGTTTCAGCTGGAGATTCACACTGCTGATTCATCTTGTATTCATCTGGATTTATCCCTCAATTAAGGAATAAAGTAAGGACTTGAAGTGAGGCATTAGCTCAAGTATGGCCAAATTTATCTTCCTCTAATGATATTAAGAGTCTTGCAAGGCACTCCATGGTCAGTAAATAATTCTCAGCTTTCGGTGACTTCAGGAATTAACACCATAACTTTACTTTAAACCTCTACCTTGTTGCAGGTAGTTAAGCAGAGACCAAGAGCTGTAAATCTACAGCAACAGGAACTCTTGGGGAGAGGGTATCTGGTGTCAGCTTCCAGGACTTCAGCCTTTCAGTTTGCATGACTATCTAAGTGCCTGAACATTCCAGATAACCCAGGGGTTTAACTTTAGGTTGTTTTGATGTAAAACCAACATGGTTTTTATCTTGAGAAAACTGCTCCCAGCAAAAAGGAGGGAAGAATTTTAAACTCTTTCCCACAAGGCTGCCTCTTAAACCAGAGGCAACCAGGTGAAGTTTACACCTCAAACCTTTCACTTCAATCCCTTCTAAACCCTGCTAATGACAATTCTTTAGAGCACAGTGGTGGGGATGCTCCTTCAGCTCACCAACACAGGCTTGGTTGGAGTCCAAGACCCTCCCACCTCTTCCCTGGCTTTTCTTTTGAATATAGCAGCAATAAAACACACATCTGAGCATCCCACTTCCACAGTATGTTGTTGTCACACTCTTCACCTTTAAAGAATTCCAGCATATGTTTCCCTAAATGCTTTTTCTCTATTTATTCTATGAAGTTCCCAGAATAAATTTAATTTATTGATTCTGACAGTTTTCAGTTGGTTTGGACATTTCACTTGGGTGATTCCCCAAGAAAATTCAGCTTGAAGCAGCTGTGTCTTTCACTGCAAAAATGATTGGTTTCAGATGTAGAATACCAAGGGCTTTGGGCTATATTTAATTTTTAAAAATATTTTTTTTAAAAAAAATTCTAGCCTTAAAAGTGATAAAAGCAAAAGTGCATCAGATGTCACAGGCCCTTGCTGCAGAAAGGTGCATCTGGGCATGTTTCCATACACAGACTCCCAATGCTTGGTTTGCTCTTCAGTGTGTCCAGCCTGGAAGTGGAGTTCATTGCAATGAACTGTTGGCAGAATAATGGGCTGAATTACTGCATAATTTACATGGACAGATTGAAAAGCTTCCTTTCAGTCTTAATAAAAGTAAGGTTTAATCAACTGTCAGACCACTAAAGCAGCAACAGTACAAGCAGCAGCAGAACTGAAGCCCTGGCACTGCCTGGTGAAGGTTTTGCTGTTGTTCCTTGGTGTCAGTGGCCAGTGCCTGTCAGAGTGAAACAAGAAAAAGAAACAAAACAGCCAAGAAGGGTATCTGGGGCCAAATTTTGGCTGGCAAAGCTGGAGCAAGGGAAATTGTGTCAAGGAAAACCCAAATTCTCCTCCTAGCACATCATAGCTTGAGTTTTTGACCCTACTTTTCATAGTGGCCTCATTGTTGTGCCTGGAAACAACTGCCCTTGGGAGAGGAAGAGAGTTTGGTTAGGACATTTCTGGGTCAGTTTGAGATTATATCTCACACTTTGACTGAGTTATATATTCTAGATATATCTAACACCCTTTACAAAAATTTTCCCCACTTCCTACTTACTAAGGGGGTTCCTTCTCTCAAAATGGAATGACATTTTCTAAGTAAAATTTCATTTGAGTGAGTGGAAAGAACTTTCTGATAAAACTCTTTTTAAAAATTTTTAAAAATTTTTTTCCTGCTTAAATAAGTCTTTAAGTTCTGCCTCTCCTACATCCCTGGAAATGCTTGCTAGCAGCTGCCATTTTCCCAGTTCATCTAATCTAACACAAGAAATTCCATGTGTGTACTTTCCCTTGGTACAGATCTCCCTCCATCCTTTCCACATGTTGTCTGTGGAGCACCTCTTCCTTCCCTGCACTTCATTTTGCTACACCTGATTTCCCAGGCAGTGGCATTGTTTCCGTTGGCTCCATGGACCTTACAGGTACCATGGGAAATGGAATATTTGCTTTTAGACGCATTCACACTTGGAATAAATCCATTCTCTGTCCTATCTGAGCGTGGACACAACGTTTAAGGCACATTCAATGCCACAGATATAGAAGATGGCAATGGAGCACCCGTCAGGGAAGGCTGAGCTGTATCTCTACAGAGGCAGCTGCTTTGTTTCATCGCAAGATTTCACACCTGCCTCAACATTTTTACCTTACAGCCTGCAGAGTTGTGCACAAAAAATGTGGTAAAGGGATGAGAATCAAATGCATTTGGCTCATGGGAGTCGTACAAGAGCTGCGGTGTGATATTAGAAATGTGCACAGTCAATTACCCATTAGGGAAGATGATTACAGACACCCGTAAGGCCAGAGTGGCGATCCCTGCTCACCATGGCTGTGGAAGAAATGTAATGGATGAGGGAATTAGTGTCAGGTTTATTCAGATTTCTCCTTTAAGACCGCTGATGTGCATTTTCAAGGGCTTTCTCCTGTTTCTCCTGACATTTGCAAGGCTGATTTATTTGTTACTCATCGGTGCTGTAGTCAGTGCTTTCATTTCCAGCCTTCTGTTGCTGGGCGTATGAAAGATCAACCAGAGGTGAAACACTCGCTTCTTATTAGCACTTTATATTCTGCTGGCACGTCCCGACCTCAGGGCCCGTAGCAGCGCAGCGCTGTGTGTGCCCGGTGGCTCCGGCTCCATCCCCGGCGCTCAGCGAGGGGACCCGCGTGTGATGCCGTGTCCCTGCACGTCTCTGTCCGCCCGGGGCCGCTGCCGTGGCCCTCAGCGCCGGAGTTTGGCACGTTGCTATGGCGACCCCGCCGCCGCAGGCAGCACCGAGCCGCCGCCAGCACAGGTCGGTGTCCGCGGTTCGGCCCTCGGCCTCGGGGGCGGCGGGAGAGCTCTGCAAGCCGAGTTGGGGATGTCCCCGTCGGGCGTTGGCACCGCTGCCCTCCTGCCCGGCTCCCGCTGGGGAGGAGCAGCAGCAGGAGCCCTGAGCATTCCGCTCGCAGGCAGCGCCCCGGGGGCCAGGAGGGCAGGGGTGACTCCGCTCCGCTGGTGGGTGCTGGCAAAGGGACCCCGCTGCAGGCAGTGCCGCCGTGCTGGGTCACGGCAAGGGCTGAGCTCAGCCGGGGCACCCTCGGGTGCATAGGGGTGCGATGCCAGGCAGGGTTCTGCCAACGACAGTCTGCAGCCGGGTGTGTTTCCCTTCTTGCTCTTCATAAAGTTAAGATGTAAGATGTGAAAAAGTAGGTACCCAGCATTGCTCTGAAGTTCCGCAAAGAGCCAGGGAAAAAAAAAAAAAAAAAAAAGGGCTTCTAGTAGGGCCGTGCAGACTAAAGCTGCATTTTACCAGAGACCCAACCAAAGTCACAGAACAGCGTCTGGAGGGGGACGCGAGGGTCTGTACGAGCCTCATCCCCAAGCGCCGTGGCAGAAGCGCACGGGAGCAGCAGCGTCTCTCCCTCCGCACCGAGAGCTGCAACCGGAACGACTCTGCACCGCCTGCCTCTCGCTGCCAGCCTCCCCGAGCCCTGGGAGTGGGCGGCTAAAAACACCCAGGGAGGCGAATGCCGACTGCGTTATCACTTGCGCAAACCTGGCATCGCTGACGTAAATTCAGAAGGGTATTCAGCAAATAAAGGCGGCTCCCCGCAGCCCGCAATTACCTCGGGTACCCTGCGCGGGCTGTGCCTCGCAGGACACGGCGAGCAGATGGGGCTGCCCCCGCAGCTGGGAATCCTCCCTGGGGTTTGTAAATCCTAAGCTTTGACTTAAAGAAGTGGTGGGATGTGTTGGTGGGAAAGTAATGCTCCCATCTGGCAGGGATAGTGAAGAGACTTCTTGAAACAGGCATGTGCTGCTCAGAGGTTATGGTCAGTGTCAGGGTGGGTACAGATTGTTGTAGCTCAGCTCTTGTGGTTCCCCAGCGAGGGCAGGACAGGCTCAAGCCATCAAAGAGTGGCACAGTGTCCTGAAAAAATCCGGCCCTTGGCAAATATTGGCAAGACCCCCTTCTCCAGGAGCTGCAGCACTCAAAAGTGAGGGAGAAACTCAGCAGTTCTAGTGTATCCTGTATTGGCATTGCTGTAAAAACATCCTTTATGGTGGGCTGTGACTCCACCATACCGAGGGACAGATCCTGTCCTCGGTGTTCTCTAACCAAGACTCTGTCTGGACACAGAAGTACTTTTATTTAGCAATGCTATCTTTCCAAATAGCTGTTGACCATTTCCCACAGCTTGAAAATACAGAACTAAGGTTGAACTCTAACACTGTTTTCTTCGTTAGAATGTCTAGCTTTTATTTCCTAGCAAGAATCTAAAGCACCTTTCTTTCCCCCTCTCCTCCCAAGGCCCAGGTTTTCTCCCTGGCACCCGCAGCACAGCAGGAACCAGAGCTTTGCCCTGCCGAGAAGGGAGACACACAAAATCATTCGAAATGGCTCAGTCCAGCGGATCAGGACAGAAGGGGGAGCCCAGGAGACAAAATCAGAGAGCATCCCACCCTGCCAGGCTCCAGCGAGCTCTGGATGTTAACGGCATTCATAGAAACTTGCTTTTGTTTCTACATCCACCTTTTGGCTTCTGTTTATGATTTATAGGAGACCATTCTCACCTCCGAGTCTGCGCTGAATTCCCACTGTGCTGAACAGCAGTTCCATTGGCAGTGCTCAGAAACCACCACTATGCTGCACTCCACCATTGTCCTCTGTATTTATGAGGCAAAATATCTCCTTTTCCCTCCTCTTCCCCCACACTGACCCTTTCCCTCCAGGCCTCCAACGCCCGAATCACCCCCACTGTGCTTTCCATGCTTGCTGTTCCTGCTTTAAACCCAGCTGTGAAGTCACCTCAGAAGTCACCCCCTTGACAGCTTAATGGGCTGGTGAGCATCTGGCCTGCCCTGGGCAAGTCCACAGCCTCCTGGGAGAGGGAAATGTTGTGGTTTCAACTTCTTTTAACAAGGCAGCTGGAGGACTGATATTTTTAGCAGCAAAGGAGTCTGAACTGCATTACTGCATTAACATTTCCTAACAGGCTGGGCTATGCTATGAGCCCATTTTCACATAGTGCTAGTTTATACTTCAGTATCTTCAATTGCCTCCTGTTTGTTCTATCTCTGTGCATGGCTCACAAATACTGTTCTGCCTGTACCTGCCTTAGTACTTTCTAATTTATTGCTGATAATAATTTGTTTTCTTCTCCAGATACCAACAGTATGCCCGTTATAAAGTACCCAAGGGTGAGAGACCCTCTCTTTTATGAATGGGACAGGAAAGCCCAGAAAAGTGGATTAAGACACACAATTTATGCTGTAAATGGGGATCAGTATACTGGAGAATGGCTGGACAACTTGAAACATGGTAAGATAGATAATTTTGAGAAAAAATAGCAACTTAGATGTCCTTACAAATGTTCCTAGGGGCAGGAAGTGGTCAGTGGTTCTATGTGCTCTATATGCTCCTGGAAGAACATTCATTCATGTAGGACTATATGTTCACACACACACACACACACACACACACACATATTTGATATATGTAATGCAAAATTGCAGAAACATTTCTAATAGGTAACTTGAAGGGCTTTTGCATGCACTCAGGGGCAACTACCTGAAATATCTCTATTACAGATGTTTAAAAATCCTTTCCAAATGACAGCAAACTGCAGTCAGCTCCATGTATTGGGATGTGCCCTGGCTGCACAGTCCCTGGAGCTCTCTGAGCTCCTGACTTGGTTCCAGGAATCTTAATTTATTCCCAAGATGTGGCAGGTCCCACAGGGGACAGAGCAGGAGAAGGAGACCCTGTCCAAGCCAGGAGCAGCCAGAGCAGGACAGATTTGTTTACAAGCAGTAAACTGAGGTTTGGAAAGATTTCAGTGCATTCAGCAGAGGCCACACAGGAAGCCCCTGATCAAGATTAACGATGGTTCCAACTTGGGAAGCTAAACTGAATCCCAGACACAAGCCTGACTTTGTGCAGGGAGTGCTGCCCTGCCTGGGGATGGAGCAGGAAGGGCTGTCCTGTGCACCCTTCTCCTAACCATGATGGTCTCCCTGTCATTCCTCTTGTTTGTTAAACAGGTAAAGGCACCCAGATTTGGAAAAGCACAGGAGCTATTTACAGCGGTGACTGGAAGTTTGGGAAGCGGGATGGTTATGGCTCATACAGCATTCTTGACCCAGTGACCAAGGAATACAGGAGGGTGTACACAGGCTGGTGGGAAAATGACCGAAGAGGTGTAAGTGAGATTTTCTGCCAGCAGTGAGGCAGTGGGACCCAAAATACAGGGAAAGAGTTGGGTGCAGTTGTTCAAGAAAATTACTTAAAATACTAACTTTTGCAATACTGAGGCTGAATTGAATGGTCAAGACTAAAAATCCAAGATTTTTATGGGAGTGCCATCTGCCTGGAGAGGGAGTCATCCCCACCCATCTGCTGGTTACCAGGCTACAGCCCTGAGCTCCCACCAGCTGCCACAGAGTGGTGGTTACTGCTCAGACTTACCTGCAGCTTGGCCAAGCACGATGGGAGGTTTCACATCCTGTTTCTTAATCCTCCCCACCCATCCCTTTCATTACTCTTGTCCTAGAACAAGTCAGAGGAACCCGTATTATAAGCACTGCCAGAAAATGCACTTTCTTCTGGGAGTTTTACAGCATAATAGGCAAATAACTTGAGTTCTTTTGGAAATTAAGCCTGTGACATAAATCAGTTTTTCCTAAAAGGAACATAATGAGAAAGTCATCTGGTAGAAGTGACTGCAATGTAATGTGCAAAATCCTTGTAGGAACGTTTTTGGATCTGCCAATGGAAACCTTGTGTTTGTCTTTGTGTCTGCTCTTAAATTAAACTCATCTCCACCAATGCTTTTAATGGGCGTGTGGCTCCATGGCTCCTGTCTCTTGGAGGGAGCTTCCCTTCCTGTTCTTTAAGGTTAGATTTTCCATAACTGAGCTTTGGTGAAAGATGTATAATGACATCCAAATATCACTAGGGTTGGGTTTTCTTCTAAAAAAGTTTCTCTCTTACATCCATGCAGTTTAATAAAATTAATACTCAGAAAAATCAGTTGTTTCCAGAACTGGTTTTATTATTTGTTCAGAGAAAAAAGAACACTTTATTCCTATGGGAAAATGTGTTAGTGATATAGAAATATTTCTTATTGGTATCACTTCCTGGCATAGCAGGTACCTCTGGACTTTTCTTAATGGTAACCATACATGTAAAACAAACAAGGGGTGGAGCTGCCCAGCCTGGGACACGCTGAGCTGGAAATATAGTCATGGTTGAAAGACATGAAATCCCCGTGTTGAGAGAGACATCCTTTAATGCTGCCTATCCCCAGTCAGGTTTATATACTTGTAAAGCCCGCTTTTAGCTAAATATTAGCAGCAATCATGCCAATAATAACACACTGAGATATAAACCCAAGGTTTTGTCAAGTTAATAAAACTGTTTGCCAAAAAAACTCTCGTACTATCACATCTCATTTCCTTCAGCACGAGAACAGCCATGGAGCTGGGCTGCCAGCAGTCATGTGTAAGAGTAATAAACAAAGGAATATTCTATGAAAGTGATGTCCCAAAATTGAACACTGACCCCTTTCAATAGAGCAGCTCCTAACCAGCCATCTCTGTGCTGCTGTCCAGGGCCGGGGGATGTTCTTTTACCCCAACGGGGAGCTCTACGAGGGCGAGTGGAGCAATGGTTTGCGGAGCGGCTGGGGAAAGATGCACTACAAGGACGGCTCCACCTACGAGGGACAGTGGCTGTCGGATCAGCACAACGGGCAGGGCCTGCTGCGGCTCCGTAAGTACGGACCACCCTCACCCTGCCCCCTGCAAGCTGTTTGCTGTCGTGCTGCTCTCCGGGTGTCTCTGCCGTCCACATTTCTGTGCTACGCTGCAGCCTTGCAGCAGGACTGCAGCCGCTCCGTGTCATCCCTCCCTCCTGCTCTGGAGCGGGAGGCAGCACAGGCTGAGCAAGGGCCGGCACTGCACTGCTCAAGCCCATAAGCCCACACGCATGAAAGCTTACTTTTGCTGTGATTTACATTTAAATGACTGGGTTGGTTCGGGTTAGAGATAATATACTGTTGGGTCAGAGAAGAGCAAATCTCTCTTTTCAAGACAGGCACTTTGCCAGACAGGCTTTCTAGCTCTGAATACCAAAGAAGAGTTCAGTTTCCAGCACAGGGGAAAAAAAAAACCCAAACAAAAAAACACAACAACATAGTTTTCTTTTTGAGTTTACTCCATCCCCTCTGTCTACTTCTGACAGTGGCTTGTGAACACAGAGGTTTCATTAGTACACAATCCTTTTCCATAAATAACACCAAGCACATCATGGATTGGGAATGTTAGGGCCAATCTCAGCATAAATACAGAAATCTAATTTTTCCCCTTTATTTTCCTTGGAGTTTAACACATTTTCCCCCAAAGCCAATAATCCCAAGAATCTCTGCAATACCAGGCATGGCATTCCAAGAACATCTGAATAAATATTATCTCTATATTGTTATTCATCTATTCTATCTTTTTTTTTGCTTGAAAGTGATCTCAAGGCTAGTAATTAGCTAAGCAAAGCAGCTGGGAGGAATGAGCCTGACCTTCTCTGCACACCACATGCATGACTGTGCTCTCTCTGCTGACTGTAAAGTCACTTTGGACCGATGGCTCATCTGGATGAAATCAGCACCTGCTTCCAGGGGGAATCTTGCACTGATCTGCTGTGCTCCTGTCAAAGGCCCTGTTAGTTATAAACTAACAGCCCCTGCAGGCTGAGCTGTGGCGGATACACCATTTCAGAGCCCAGTTGCCTCCAGCCTAGCTTGCAACTGATTGTTAGCTGGATTCCTTTTGGTTAAAATTAGCCAGAGCAATTATTTCATACCCACAAGCTTAATGCATTCAGCTCAGCTGCTGGAAGTGCGCCCACGTGCCGGCAGCTTTGCCATGTGAAAGAAAAGGAGTTCTTCAGTGGAGGTCACGATGAGCTGCAGCTCAAGATTAAATTGCTTGTAGTGGCAGCATGCCCAGTGAGGGTGAGCTTGGCTGAGAGCACTGCACTGATCTGCTGCCTCTGCTACATCCATTCCCCAACAGCTTTGTACCAGAGCACTTCACATCCACAGGGATCACGGTTGTGAGCAACACAGCCTCAGGTGCTCTGGGAGGAGAGCAGATGGGACCAGCCAGGCACCACAGCGCAGTCAGGGTGTTCATTGCCCCCTCCTTGCAGCCAGGACTGTGGTTTTGGTTGTTTCTCACTTGTTGGTGGAGTGCAGAAGCTGAGCTGCTCCCAGCTGTGGACAAGGCAGCTTGGTGTTGCAGATAAGCACAAAACCAGATCAAAGTTGCAGATAAGCATCACCACAGCTCCAGCCTGTAAACCAGACCCTGCCTGAGCAGCCCAGCAGCCACATTGCCCGGAAGCCTTTTTGGTTTTCCCCTCTTCCCTTACAGTATCCTGGCAGGCTCCAGCTATCTCTGCAGCACTGTGTGGGGTGCCCTGGTATTTCAGCCAATTCTTGTGATGAAGAGTGGCAGAGTTCAGCTGAGACTCAAAGGTATTTCCACTAACATGATCAGAAATCCCCACGGGTTTGGGCTTAGAAACACTGTATGTAGGAAGAGGAGTGAGCAGAGCACTCTCCTAGTGACAGCAGGGTGGTCTGGATCTATCCCAGCCCCAGCATCACCAGGGGTATGATGCCCTTTCTCAACCAGCATCCATGGAAGAGGCTGCTCTCTTCCCCTTGTAGCTCTGCTTTCCCTGTTAGTGATGGATGGGTGGATTCCTGGAGAGCAGCAGAGAGCCAAAAAAAAGCCTCTTTCAACTTGCAGAAAAATGCCAAGAGAAGCAGTACAGCTGGAAAAACAGCCTGTAAGTGACTGCCAGAACTGTTCAGACTCTTGCAGCAATTCTCACCCCGTAATTCATTGAGGAAAAACTTAACTAAAAGTATTCTTTGAAATCAAGATTATTTTGACTGGACAGCAATCAGTGCTCTGTTCCTTGCCCAGACAAGCAAACCTCTTCAAGCCAGAGATCCTGTGTGATTTGTTGCAGTGACAAATCTAAAACTTGTATCCTGTAATTTTTCATGTTGACCAATCCCTTACCTTGAGCACACTGGCTCCTTGTGTCAGCAGAAAATGAGTATCACTGTGAGAACAAAGCAGATGAGCAGAGTCCTGCTTCCAAGTGAGCAAGTGTGGGCTCCTTCTGCAGCATTTTCTCCCTCTGCGGCACAGCAAATGGAGCACTGCAAAATCAAAATGACGCAGAATACCACAGCCACCTTGAAATTACTAAGAGGAGCCAAACACATGATCTCCTCTGCTGGTTTGCTCTGTTGATTTTCATGTGCAACCCCTTAACACAATGGTGCAAATTTCAAGATCTGTTCATGTATTTACATTGCAGCAAATGGAAATCGGTATGAAGGAGGTTGGAAAGATGGCAAGAAGCATGGCCCAGGGAAATACTTCTACCCAGATAAGGGACAGCTGTTAGAAGGCATCTGGGTAGCAGATATACCAAAGTGTGGAGTTCTGGTTGACTTTGGCAGAGACAACGCTCCAGACCCTACTCAGTTTCCGCTCCCAGAGGTAATTGCTTGGAAATTTTGGTATTTGTATTCATCAAGTGCTCGGGTCAGCTCTCCAGGTAGCATTTCACTTCTCAAGAGATTTCCCCCATGGGGTGTGTACTCAGAGTCTTTTGGCCAGCAGCGTCCTAGATGGCCCCATAGGGACTAACAGCTCATGCAGCCTCTGCCGGAGCCTCCCAATTGCCTACATCTGAAAAAATGCAGTTCTCATGCACCAGAACTGCTCAGAGACCTGATGCAGCACAAAGGAAATGGGGACAATAGAGGCACAGACAATAGTGGGATTTGTGTCAAGAACAAATTATTTCACCAAGCCCAGCTGCTGAGGCTGAACAGATTCTGCAGGAACCTGAGCAGCTGCAGGGCCAACAGCAGCTCTCTCCCTCAAGTCAGGGGCTCACCACTGTGCCCAGCAGCCCCAGGGGTGTGTGCAGGTTCCCACCTGGGCCCAAGCGGGGGAGATGGTGTCCTAGAGCCCACATCCTCTGCTCCTCTTTTCCCTTGATTGACACACACAACAGAGGAAGAGCCAGGCCCTATCCCCATCCCAAAGATTTGCTAAGACACAAAGACACACTGGGCCATCAGCCTGGCACCCACTGGGTCCTTGCACATCACTTTGGTGGACGGGAGAGTCTGTCCCAAGCTCTGTTCCCTTGGAGGAAGAGGAAATGGGAATCAGCAGTGAACAAATGTGACTCCAAGTGAGAGCTGGCCCTAAGAGTCTCAGCTTGAACCCTCATTTGTGAAACAAAATGGGCTGTGCAGGATGGGCTGGGGCAGCTCCCCTTTGGTAAGAGCCAAGCAGAACCACCCTAGATAATCACAGCTCACCACTCTGCTCCAGTAGCACAGGGAATAGCACAGCCCCGTGGCAGGTAAAGCCACCCACCTTCCTCTGGGTCACGGCTGTTCAATGTGACACCAGGCACATGCAGCCTTCCAAATCTCACAGCTGTTACATCTTCATTGCCCCAATCTTTTCAAATCTGTTTTCTATAGCCAAAGGCCTTTTGAGCATAGTTTTGAGCCAGTTAATCCTGTAAGTACCAAGCACACCCACAGCAGTGCAGAATAATAAACCCCAAATACCCATCAGAGAAAAACAATCTCTATTTTGCAAAAAGAGTGAAAGGAGCAGCACTTCTGTGGCTAAAAATATTTACTATATGTGGTTTGTCAAAGGTCACTGAGAAGAGCCTCAACAATCCAACAGCCTGGGATGAACTACTGGTACACTAAGGCAGGATGTGCAAGTCTGGTTGTTTATTTAACTTGCTGAAGACCAAGTGATGATCCAATTCTCTTCTGCTCTATAAGCAAAAACAAAGCGTCAACTTTCACTGCTGTTATTGTGCTTTCAATAGGTTGATCTCTATTTGTTGATCTCAGAATATGAAGTAATAGCTAAAAGGAGAAAAACTGCATTCAGGTTTTCATAAACTTTTGTCACCACCACCCCCGTTATTAAAATTATAGGTGAGGCCTAACAGGCTACAAATCAAAGCCAGTTTTGCCCAAGAGTGTGTTTTGTTAAAGTCACTCACACAGAGCTATTTCAAGGAGATAAAGTGATGTTCAGCACACTAATAAAATTAGGGGAGTGTAGTTGTTTCTAAATAATTGAAAGGCTGCAATATGAGCTGAAGTCCTGATACGTGGGAGACTCTCCAATAATGCTCAAGAAATTAAGATCTATAAAACCTTAAGCTTCTTCAATTACACTGCATAACTGATTTGTATTCTTTTTATTTAGATTGAACTACATGATCCAGCTGGTGTTTTAGCAGAGGCCCGAGCAACATTTGATGACAGCCATAATTAATAACCAGATATTGAAGAAAAAAAATAATCTAAGAACACGATCCTGGGTTACTTATTCCTTTGAGTGTCAAACCCACACCGTGGCTTTCATGTTGTGGTCAGCCTCACCCATCCCTCAAGGCTGTTCAGGTATGCTTCCCTCTGCAGGTGGCTTTGCTCAGTAGCCTCCTCTCACCCCCATTATTTTGGAAAAGAAAGGAAAAATAATTAATGGGAAAAAACCCAAAAGACAAGCACCAAAACACTGTAAGACAGGCAGAGTGTAAGACAGCTCCTCTTATTCCTCCTGCTAGGAAATCACACTCCTGGTGCTTTCAAGGCCTTTGCTTCGGAGGAGGGTTTCTAATATGTTTTAAAAGCATACAGAAAAGTACAATCAAGTAATTGTGTCCTCCACTCCCCACAAACATAGCACAACACACACCTGTGACCCCAAATGCCTTTTGAAGTAACAGCAGATCATGTTTCAGTTAGTAAGTCTATTTAAGGCCTCTAGGTAAAAAATAATCCACAACAATTGAGTATATTTTATTCCATGAAAGTATTTTATACCCAAATAAGTGATATACAATAACCAATGTTTACAATGATTGAGGTAAATGCCTAACATCGTTAGTATAAATAAGGGATAAAAAAATTTAAGTGCACTCAATGCTTAGATCCACATGTTTGTGTCTGGTTACTGCCTGGGTACACAGTGACAAAGGTACCCAAGGAGTAACTTTCATGACCATTTCCACTGGTGGAAAATGACAAAAGCATACTAGATATCATGGCTTAAAGTGCAGAAAATAGTCAGAAAATTAGCTGTAATAACAGTGCTATTAGCTCAGAGCCTACCAGCCTGAGAAAATTAAAAATAACCATGTCCCACTAGCTTCTAATTCTGTGTATCTTAAACAACAAGAAAATCCCACACTTCTTAGTCACTTTGTAAAAGATCCACAAATCAAAGAAAAATTCAGCTAGTTATCCAGGACAGCAATGAATTTTACAAAATAAACTCAGAAAACTGATTTTCTGGACTTCCATCCAGAACCATATGACTTCTAAATACAAAATTTACAGACAGAAGTAAAATTTTTACACCTGACCACACCCTTCCAATCAATTGCTCTGGTACAGATACCAGGTCAGGTTTTCTGCCTTTAGTGGGGGATTTTAGGGGCCTGTTTCCCCAAGACAGAACTGGTAAAGTTCTGTCTTGGATGGGAAAACACATTTTGTGCCTACTACCAACATTTTGTGGTTTGGAATGCTGCTTCCTTATTGCCTTTACTAAAGCAATGCTTCCAGTGCTCCATGAACAAACACTTGTGAGTCTGCAGTTAAAATCCTCACCATGAGATTTACCTCAGGAATAGAATATATTTGAAGCATGTAATGGCAGAGCTGAGAAAATCCACTTTGGCCTCTGTGTGCCAGGACTTTCACTTCAGAGGTGAAAACACCAAGTAGAAAGCTGTTTGCTGCTTGTGAATCACAAAGGTTTTTGGTTTTGGGTTTGTTTTTTTATAGTTATGTTTTTAGAGTACAAAGGCACCACAGGTGACATTGTCAACACTTTGCACTGCAGTGCTGCTGACAGGAGAGATCAGTTACCATCTGCTTCAGGAGTAACCACACTCTGCACCTGAACTCCACTGGCACTTTGTGCAGATTGCAAGTATGCTGGAATAACCTGAGATGGAGGCTGGTGTGAGAAACCACATTCAGCCCAGGCTGTCAGGCATGGCTCCACTGGACTGTCACAGTCCCTCCTGTCTCATGGCAAAATCCCAGGTTTCTATTCCATAGTGATAGCTATGACTAGTGATAGCTAGTTTGGTTTTTTTTTTTCCCCTTTGGCTTGAAACTTGTCTCAGTTTGTGTTCAAAAAACAGCTTTTAACCACTAAAGCCCAAAGTTACTCTACAGAAGAACTGTACTCCAAAAAATTAAACTCCTATACACAGCCAGAATTACCGAAGCAGCCCAGGACAACTGCTGGAACCTTTCTTGGCCAAACCTCTTATCTAGGAGACCACATGGGGATTTTTGCTTAGAGGAAATTAACAACACAGTAGCTTTGCTGTCACAGAGGTGTCTGAAAGAAAGCAGCAGTATTAATTACAAATAACCTACTTTCATAAATAAATATACATCAAGAAAAGTTGTCTTCCAGATCCTTTGGAAGCAAATATGTATGAGTTATTAAATACAAGACTTCAGCAAGAATACCTTTCTAAACAAGGAAGACCAAGGCATAGCTAATTACTTGGGAATCCAACACAGATAAAGCACCTTTTGCTGCTTGCTTCTGAGGATTTATTAAAAATATATTTTCAATATAAAAGTATAAAATAATTACTACTTTGGTTTGGAAAAAAACCAGCAGTGGTTCTGATTTTCAAGCAAAAAAAATTATCCAGTGATAATCTCCATCTAGTTCCTTCTTTTCAAAAAAGTATTCTTAAAAGAAAACAGGCAAATCTATCTCTCCAGATAACATGTGCCAGCTCATGAGAACTTTAAAACAGTTATTGCTTTTATTTTCTTCCATGGAAGAGAAGAGTTGAGTCTCATTCCTACTCGTGTGGCCACACCACATCGCAGTAAGTCTAGTCCTGGGTGTTTAGCAAGTTACAAAATGTGTAAGTGCCACGGGAAAAAGGCACTGGAGAAATCAGCAAAGTAATGATTACTTGGCAGCAAAACATATTGGGGGAAAGTGCTGGGAAAGCTTTCACTCCTACCATCTGTCAGGCTTTGCAGGGAGAGCAGCGCTAGCACCGAAACCGAGCGCTAATTGCTGCATGTCCCAAGTAATTTGTATCATGCCATGCAATATGGATAGGACAAGCAGTATCTTCTAGTAAATGCCAACATCAGATAAACAGAGAAAAAAAAATCCACAACTTCTCTATCCATTCCTAACAACTACCCAAATGTACAATGTTATTTTCCATGTATTTATACAGCCAACACTCAGCATTAACAAGAAAGATGCGAGACAGTGTTCACAGGAGGAGGGCTGCACGCACAGTGCAGTCACAACCCACCATCCATTCCTTCAGATAGCAAAACTTGTATGAAAGGAACATCTTTTCCCTCTCTAAAGAGTTAGAACAATATTTATAATATTTATAAACAGTAATCAGCAGTTCAACCAGTTCATCCACAGGGAGTCACCATAAGGCAGAAGCAGAATAGTGGATTTATTTTCTTAAGCACAGGTTTACACAAAATTGGTGACGGCTGAGGTGACAGCATCACCTCTGTGATCCAGCTGATCCTGGAGCCGTGCAAATTCAGCAAGTTCATTGAGTTCCTGAAACTGCCTGTCTGTTTTGTGGCTCACCAGTGACCTGTAGAAGTGGACTGCAAACACAATGAAAATCAATCCAAAGGGCACCATAATGGACGTTGATGCAATGGCTGCTGCCTGTCCTGATGTGATGGTGGAACTGTTGCTCTGTGGGGTGTTGTCAGTTTTCTTCTTTAAAGGAAGGAACTTCACCCAGCATAGTAACACCACTTCTGCAAGAAAGAGCAAAGTCCCAATGACAGTGGAAAATGCCCATGCAAGCTCAATGTGCCGGTGCATGCGCTCGTGAGGAGATTCCTTGACAGAATTGAGGTTATGCACATTGCTAACAGCCTCTATGTTTGGAAGGATGCAGGTACTTATCATGAGTGCAAAAAGGTGAACTGCAACAAGCACAGTAGTGCAGGCACTGAAGGCTATCAAGAGCCCCTGAGGATAGTCGTGGTCTGGGTCAAGCTGAACTTCCACCATAGCCACCTGAAAAGGAAAGGGGAGAAAGATGCAGTTACCTACATCTTACATTATTTGACTATAGGTTTTCAAAGTTTACGCCATGTTTCTGGAAGATCATCTGATCCAAACAAAGTAACTCTGTATTTACATTTCTCTTCATGTCAATCTGCATCCTCTTCATTAGGTGCAAATTTAGGTCTGAGCTCTCAAGCAAAGGCCACTGTTTTCACACTTATTGTTCTGTTGTAGAGCAAACACACAACCACCTTGCCACCTCCAGCTCATGCCAGCAAAACAGCTGACCCTTATGAACAGCATACTTGGACTCCTTAAGGGAAATATTTCTTCTTTTGTGTTATATTGAAGATGCAGCTTTTGATCTTTACTTATGAAGTCTTTTGAAGTATCCGTGAAAGGCTGTGAAGGCAGGGGACTGCCTGAAACAACCTCAGTGGTCCTTTCCCCATGGATATTTGGGTTTAAGTTCCAAAGTGCAGAAACCTTTCATGAGAAAGATCACCTTTCCATGGGGCTCTCAGCTATATTCTTTTATTCAAGTATTTAACAGACTCTGGAACACAGACTCAAAATCTGAGTTTCCACAATGCCAGTGGCAGCCCAGCAAGCCTGTTGAAGGCTGGAGGAAAGACAGCGTCTCCAGAAAAGATAACACAGTGCTCCCAAGCATCACTGCTCCCCCAAAGATGAGGCTACTCATGAAGATGTTCCAGCCCTCCACTACCACATGCAGCCATGACCTTCTTGTAACCTTAGATCTCCATGCATGCCTGTGCCTAAGGAGTAAAAAATCAGCATTAAATAACAGCAGGAAACTCGTAAAACCAACTGGGATATTTCTGACAAATAAAATTAATCAGAATGCCTTTTAGCTGGTTTTAAAACTGCCAGGTGGTTTTGTGCATATGTGCAATTGATCAGTGACATTAATCCCAACAGCCCTCCAGAAATGATCTTTCCTGATAAATTGGCCTTTCAGACAAAGCACAGTTCCAAAGAGGGAATAATGCACCAAGGTCTCTACATTCAGTGCTCTTTCTCAAAGGAACTAATTTAACAGACAAAATACAGGTAAAATGCAGAGGAAAAAACCTGACAGTAATCTGAAATATAAGCACATCAAGCTGATAGGAAGAAAGATTCATGGGTAACATGGATGCAGGGAGGCATGAAAACCAGGGCTCAGAGACAGCTGCAAAAGCAGCAGGAACATTCAAACCTCACTATTTTGCAGGGGCTGAGCCAAGCTAACCTAGCCCTGGATCCCATCTTCTTACGCATGTTCCAGGACACCAGAACTCTTAATCACTAATGCACCCAATATATTAAGGCAACCCATGGTTTTGCTCAGACATGTTTCAACAGGCATTCGAGGCCATTTGCCAATTGTTTAATTCCTTTATTGAAAGCTTTTATTGTCATAAGCCTAACAACCCAGCCAACTAGCAAGCAGTTTCCAAGTGTTCTGAGAAACTCAGCAAGAAATTATATTAATGCATATACAGTCCTTGCTGGAGGATTTAAAAATACCATTTTTCAGCTGTGGGAAACTTCATGATTGAGAGGATAAACATTTGCTTGTCAGGTTTCTCTTCTGCAGGATTGCCTAAGTCTCTATGTACTCGTGGGATGTTGGGCTTCCTGTATTTTTCACAGAACAATTGCAATCCTTCACCACTGAGGATTAATTTTCATACTTAAAGATTTTTCTTGTAAGTCTTCCGCTGTGCCTAGACTCAAAGCCATGCAGCATGACAAGACACTTGAATCCTTTATCCTAGTTCTTAGTATGATAATATAAACATGGCACTAAAGAGCTTCATGAGATGAAGACTTTATTTTCTTTTAAGAACTGATTGTATTTAGTTTGCCAAACATTGAAGACATTTTATATTTCCATTTATCAACACCTCCATACTAATGATATCAAGCATCTGATTTTGAGCTCCTTGTGTTCATGTCTGGCAGAGTAACCCCAACCTGACCTGTAAGTGAAAAATCAGTTCATGCTTGCTGTCTTGTCAAACTCTCAGCAAAGCTAATTTGGGAACTCTTTCAGTGTAAACTAGCAGAAAAACTGCCAACTCTTTTCAACTCTGAGTTTACTTCCTGGGCCAGGCTTGAGTCAGGCACCAAAAACAAAACCTTCATTTTTCACCACGAGGGCCTGTGCCTGTTTTCTAACAGCGATGTAAAGTGTCAGAAGTTCTTCCCTCCTTTGCTCATGCTACAATTTCAAAATAAACAGATCACAACTGCTCTTGTAAAGTAATACCTGCAAGAACAGGGCCCTGATGAGGTCACCTGATATGATCCAAATTCATACAAAGCCTGAACTCCCAGGTACATGCCAACGTTCCAGGCAGGATATATTCCTGCTCTACTTGTTCAGAAGAGCTGCTCAGGGCAGAAGCTGTTGTCAGTAGCTGCACAATTTCCAATACAACACTTTTAGCACCTTATCCTTCACCACATTCAAAGCTTCTCTGAACACTTGCTGCATGACTTGACTGTGCAGCTGCTGTGCTGCAAGTGCCCTGCCTTGCCATGTAATCACAGTGTAACTCGGGCTGGAAGACACCTCAAGAGGTCATCTGGGCTAATCCCTGGTTCAAAGAAGAGCTAACTTTAACTTTAGATCATCCTACAGATATGACTGACAGATTTACTACGGCTCTTGACAAAGCTGTACATCTGAAGTACAGCTTCTTGACAAAACTAAAGGACTCATGACATTAGGACACAAGACTGAAGCTCTCATAAGCCTAAAAATGGTGGGCACTCAGATGTTTTTAGAAGATAACTGAATTTTGGCACATAACTGTGTCAAGCCTTCAACAGTCCTGGATTTTAGAGTCACAACAGCCTGATTACTACCATATTACAGGAAATTTAACAACTTGCCCTCTAGAAAAATCTGCACTTCAACTTCTTTTTAAGTTCAATATACTGACCAAATTAATTTAACTTACTTATTCATAAGGCTTCCATGTCTTATTAGACCAGAGTGACTTAAATAAAGCCCCTGCTTTTAAATTAAAATCACAGGCTTACATATTTTTTCAGATCAGTAGACAGCGCTGTAGAGAAAAGGAAATAAAATGCCTCATCTCAAGTAAATCTGTATGATCTATGAGATAATATTTATTAATTACTTCCTCCCCTTCCCCACAAAGATGCCTCTGAGCTCGGGTTGGTGGGAATATAACCCTGTACTGGGACTGTATATTACACAGTCTAGCATGTCAGGAATGCCTAAAAAGAAAGCTGTGTTGATCAAACATCACAACTGCATTTTTGAGGGCCCATCCATCACTCTTGTCTATGGGACCACAGAGGAAACTCAATAATGAGCCGAGTGTCAGAGCATCACTGGGAATCAGCTCCTCTGGCTAGCTCCCCATTTTCCTGACAGTACAATTCACTCCAGAGACAGAGGCGCAGAGCCAGGCTCTCACAGACTGTCTGCACCATTCATAAAGAGTTATAAACAACTCATACAGAGGCTCTGTACGAGCCAGATTAACTCACCGGAAATTAAAAACAGATAAGTCAAAATAATGATCTTATTTACTGGTTTCATACAGAAGGGGAAACTAAGCATCATTCATCCATTAGTCCAGGATCTTGACTCTGCAGATTATTGTATGCTGCAGAATGGCAAAACACATTAATATTTGCTGATGCTGACACTGGACTACAAATACAGGGTCTCATTTTATTTTGCTAGCAAACATGAAAAGGCAATACCCGTGTGATTGGAGCAAATGCATCTTGAGGAGGTAATACCCCTCTACACAGTGTAACTTGCAGCAAATGCTTTCAGTAAGTACAAGTTCAGATTATCCACCAATGCAGTCTTCTGCAGAACATGAAGCTGTCTTCAGGAGACCATACTGGCCATATTTCAAAGGCAAGAGTTGACAGTTCTTTGATAATATTCAATATTTGAAGCATATATATCCCATCAAGACAAAGCCCAGCCAGCTTGGAGCACTAGAGGTATTTAAAAGAAAATTGCTGCCTGGTAAATATCAGCCTCTGAATCCTACATATAAGGAAGCCAACCACAGTGTATAATTCAGACCCGTAATTCTTACTCAGTTATTTTCACAAAGCTGTTAATTGGTGGCAGGAGGAGATGTTGAGTCTTCTGGTTTTATAACTAGTGCATTTAACAACTTTCCTATGGTTTCTGACTCCTGTATTTTAAAATTGTCATGCTACTGTGTTATGTGTCCCTGGTGACAAAATGATGCAAACAAGTCAGAATAATTGTTCAAACAAAAATAATGTGCCAGCAGCCTATTCACTGTGAAAAATAAAAATAGATAAACCAAGCATGAGGGGGAAGATCATGCAACAATATCTGGGCTATAATACAGAAGTGAGAAATATCTGATGCCCCCACCAGTGTATGGAATGAATCCTCCATTCTTTAATGAACTATACATCCCCTACAACCTACAATTTCTCTACCTTTAACAATTTGGGGGACTGATACTATTAGCTGGCCCCATAAATCGGGAAAGTGTACTAAATGAGGCTATAAACTTCATGGATTTTCACTCAGACATACGGCACTATATGGTGGCATCCATGGAAACCTGAGTGAAGGAAATGCTCAGGTTTACTGGGGCGAGCTCAGCTCTCACATCAGTTGCCACCACCAGCCCCTGCAACTGTTTCTGAAGCTCACATATAGTAGCAAATCCTGATGTGGAGCTCTGAAACAAAACCAGGTTTTTAATCTTCTCAAAACAATTCAGGGTTTGAAACTTGGCTGAGCGTTTCATACTCCACCTCACTGACCTGAGCAATGCATTGCCTTTGGCATGCCTCATTCCACTAGGGCACATCACCAATCCTGAGGGAATCAACTTTGCAAAATGGCTGCAGCTACACATAGAAATAGTCCATGAAAAGGGAGCAGTTCAACGGGGATAAACTTAGTTTCTACAAGAGGATGCAAGCACTCTAATCAAAGAGTAAGGATCAATGGGGCTGGCATGGAAACCAGCACGGTCCACTCCCGACAATTCCCATCAATTCACTGGGTGGTCCTGGATGTGTCACTTAAGCTCTTTCTTCCTTGCCTGATAAGGAAAAGAGAGGAACAATGACCCTTCAGTGCTGTTGCCAGCTTTGATCCAAGACTAGAATGTACTTCAGCAGCATTTTGTTAAAGTACCAGGTGCCAAAGAACTGCAGTCAGTAAACAATGCACAGGCGTGACAGAACAGCCCAGCTTTTCAAGGCAGAGGGACAACTCTAAAAGATCAGCAAAGTTTTTAAAAGGCATCTAAAAATACTCGAAAGTTAACTCAGCTCTTCTGAACCAAGATTAGGTTCTGACTTAGCTATAGGACTAGGAGTAGGTCTGTCAGAGCAAAAACAAAGAGACTACGGGTGGATTTCCATGCTGAACTTGTTAAAGGAAGGAAAAAATGGTGGATTTTTTTCTTTGGAAAAACTTAAATATGACTGTTCACATGTAGCATTCCTGGCAATTAGAGATTTTCTTAAATGGAACGAAGTGGCTTTTTCCTGAAATAACCTAAGCAACAAATTTAAAAGCAGCAGTTTTCAACAGCAAGAGACTAAACCCCTAGAATTCTAGAGAATTAAGAAACCTCACCTCATACATCCACGGATTTTGAGTCCACGTGCCATACATTTAGAGAAAAACCAAGGAATTCAAGATGTTAAGTATGACCTTAAAACACCACCACGTACATTAAGATGCAACGTCCCTTAGAAAATTTATAAACTCCAACAAACTACATTTTCCCCCACGTTCTCTCTCAAGGCAAAGGCCTGACTCAAGCAGGCACAAACTGCTCTGGGATGGCAGAACAGGAGTTCACCAAGGAGAACTCATGATCAGAAGCGGCGTGTGAGCACCAGCGTTACCCAAGGAGAACCGAGTGAAACGCAGGAACACAGCCGCCTGTCAGTCACCCGGGCAGCACTCCACCACCTCCCGAAGAGTTGTGGTCTGTTTTTAGCCATTGGAGGAGGACAGTGACATTTATCTGACCGTCAGGAGGCTGCTGTGTTTTCCAACAGCATCACTGGAACAATGGCTCTGGAAAGTAGCAGATTCAACGGCTGAAAATACTGTTTGTCAAAAGCAGGGAAAAAATCAAAATAAAGCAAGTCAGTGGAGTGAAATTGCGAATTTATAATCCGTGAAGCATTTTTAACAGCTGCATAAAGGCAGAGTTTGCAGCTTTGCATGTCAGATGTCTGGGCAGATGAGGAAGTGAGTTACTTTATTTCAAATTATATGGAACTTTCATACACGACATAATTCGGGTAACTAGACTGCGCTTCACATCAAACTCGAGAGAAAACGTTTCTAAACCACGCACAAAACTCCAAACCAAGTAACATTCAAGCTTTCCTTAAATAAAAACTAGAAACCTCGCAACTGCAAAGCACTGATGATGGATGAGTCTGAGCGGCACCACAAACTTTAATCGGTTGTATTTCTTGGTTTATCTAAAAGCAGCTGCAGCGCAACAGCTGCCCCTGCCCTCGCTGAGCCACGCGTGCGGTGTGAGAGAGGAGCGCGATGGAAACCCGCATCCCGGGCAGCGCTGCGGGGCTCCGTGCGCGGCCCCTTGGCTCCCGACACCCGGAACACGACACGGTGACCCCTCACCCAGCGGAGCTGCCCACGGCACACACCGCGGCTTCTGCGGTCCTGAGCATCCTCCACGGGGAAAATATGTAACAATCACACAAATCTTGCACTATCAGGCGGAGATAAAGGCCGAGAGGCAGCTCTGAGGTCGTGCCAGGAAGCGCTCCAAAACAAACCAGCTACCGAAGCGAGCTGCCGGGAGCGCTGCCCGGAGCGGGCCGGGCGCTCCGGGGCGGCGGCGGCAGCAGCGCCCGCCCCGCTCCCCGCCGCCCCAGGTGCCGCACGCCGCGCCGGGCCCGGCCCCCCCGGCCTCACCGCAGCAGGCTCCGAGGGAGAAGCAGAAGCGGCGACTGCGCTCCCCGCCCGGTGCCACCCCCCGCCCGCCGGGCCAGGCCGGGCGCTCACCATGGCGAAGCCGGAGAGCAGCGCGGAGGTGCGGCTGGAGGCTTTCAGCTTGGCTCGGCTCAGGTAGAGCTTCCGCCAGGACAGCGCCTGCATCGAGTGCTCGTTCAGGCTCATGGGCTCGGGGCGGAGGAGCGGAGCGAGGCGAGGCGGAGCGGGGCCGGCGGGCGGTGGCGGCTCTTTCCGGCGGAGCGGGCCCGGCCGCGCTAACACCCCATGGCGGCAGCGCGGCTCTGCCGCCCCGGGGCCGCGCCCGCCGCGCGCCCCGCGCGCCCCGCCCCGCCGCGTCCCATTGGCTCCCGGCAGCCAGGCCCCGCCCACAGCCCCGCCCCGCCGCGCGCCGCCGCTTCCCGGCAGCCTCGCGCCTCCGCCCGGCGGGCGCTGTACCCCGGCGCCGCTAGAGGGCGCCACGCCGGGCGAGCCGCGCTCCCTGAGGGCGCTGAGGGCGCTGAGGGCCCGCGGGGCTGTGGGGCCGAGCCCCGCACCGAGCCCGCACCGAGCCCCGCACCGAGCCCGCACCGAGCCCGCACCGAGCCCGCACCGAGCCCCGCACCGAGCCCCGCACCGAGCCCGCACCGAGCCCACACCGAGCCCCGCACCGAGCCCCGACGGAGCCCCCGCCGCGCTCCCCGGGTGAGCAGCTCAGCCCGAGTGCAGCTGACGGGAATCTGTAGTTTCCGGTGGGTTTGTGCCCCTCAGCCCAGTGCGGGCTCCCCTGCGCCCTCCCTGGGGCGGACAGGATGGGGTGTCCCCCTGCAACACGTCCCTCAGAACACACACAAAGCCGTGCCTCGGCCTCTTCCTTCTGTAGTGCCCCGTCCTAAAATGCTTAAACATCTAATCTACACCTGTCCAGAGCACACAGAACATGTGGATCCAGACCGGATAGAACATCCACCCCCGCTTCTAATTAAAACTGACCCAGCTAACCCTTTGTCACGTAATTCAGGTTTTTCACAACATTTGGTAGGCCCAGAGCTCTTGATAAACCCGCCTTTTTCAGCAAGCACTTGATAAGGTTGATTAAGCAGCACATTTCAACATCTACACACACCAGTGTTGAAAGATTTTTTATTACAGGTTCACATACACCCTTTAAACCATCATTTATTTTTTCTGTGTTTTACAGAGAGAAAAGTGAGGTGTAGAGCAGAGCTCCCTAGTGAATACTTGGCAGAGTTCTGAAGGTGATTTCTGAAAAGGTGAGGCAACACACTGCTTGTGCCACATCAAATTTGTGCATCAGGAGATTTAAGAGATGTGTAAGAAACAAACCTGTTGCTATCAATTTGTAGTTAAGAAAAATAGGATGTTAACAATACAAATAATACCCAACAAGGATACTTTTACTATTAACAGGCACATGGATGGTCACCTAGGAGATGAATCCTTGCTAGTTTCATTTAAAATCAAAAGCATCGTTAGTTTGTATTGTTTTGACATGTCCCACCTTATTTACAAGTAGGAAAATCACGGCAGATTGTCTTTAACATTTTTGCTTTGTTCTTCACACCTTTCTGATTTGCAAGATCCTTCACTGCCTTAAGCACAACAAAGAGAACGACGACAATCGATACCAACAAGGTCACTTGATGCTTTTCATGTACAAGGCATTCTTTTTAAAAAGATGTAGTGAAAGCATCCAAGAAAAATAATCTTAAGGATTTGAAGTCTTCAGAGGCATTCCCTGTACCATGTAGATTTGATCTCATTCCCTTCTCAGGAAATAAACACAGTCCTCTTGTTATAAAAAACTTCGGGTGAGATTTTTATCTACAGGGGCATTAAAACACCTCAGTAGAAGAATGAGTTTGACTTAGTCTTTCCATAAAAGCCTCTGCTGTTCTATCACCGACTCCACGGAATTCTGGCCACAGTCTTTCTCTTTTCTGGGTGACAGTACCGCTGTGCAGGATTAATTTGAGTTGGAGTCCAGCAAAAGATAAAATTTTGAGGTGGATTTGGCAGTGTTAGGTTTGTAGTTAGACTTGATCATTCTAAAGATTTTATGTAACTTAAATGAGTCTGTGATTATAAAACATTACTCTTTTTTTGGTGTGCTTTAATTATTAAGCCCCCCCAAAAAAACCCAGAAGACCACCCCACAATCAACATTCTCTGTCTCCCACTGGTGCCTGAGGCTAACCAATTGTGATTTATCTCTTTTTTTCTTGGGAGATATGATAACCATCAAAAACAGTAACTAGAAGTTTCTTCACATCTCAGAAAAACATTCAAGTCTCTGTCCCGTGGAATTATATAATTAAAAATATTTTGCATTGCTGCTCATAAGCTATGACAAATGTTTATGTACATGTACATAACCAACGTGGATTGTTCACTATTTCTTCTTGTTTCTGTGCAAAATTAAGGTTGAACTGTAACATCATGAGGGAGTACTACTGCACTAGGTCTTGACCCGTTCCCTAAAATCAGATTTCTCTAAATAAAAGAACCATCTGTAAGAGACTTACATCTGACGAGGACTTCAAGTGTCTTTCTAAATAATTGTATTAAAATAGACTCCTTGAACTCACTGTTCCTCTATTTTCCTGTCCATCACTCTTATTCCTGCTTATTGAAAAGGGCTTTGAAAGATGCAACATTAACCACTGAGGTTCTGCTGAGTTTGTATTTCATTCAGAGAAAAAGTATGAAAAAGGACCTGCAGAATCAGCGAAGGCATTTCATCTCATGCCCTTTTCCAAACCAGACCCGTGTGTCATTTTGAGATTCCAGCCTCAGTGTTGTAACTTTGAAATAAACATTCCTTTCCTGTAAGAAAGAAAAGAAAACTCAGTTTGTTAAACAGAAAAAATACAGTAAGGTTCAACATGAGGCTTTGTGCACCCTTTTCCCTTTCTGTCCCATTTTAGAGCTCCATCTGAGGTACAAACTAAACAGGATAAATTATTTCCAACTCTATTACTCATTATGACACACCTCTACACTGCCACTCTGGAGTGAGCTGAAACTAAAAGAGTCAGCCTTGCTTAATTAACTCTTAGAAATGCTTCAGGGAGTTCTTCTGAAGTCATGCTGGGGCTCAGGGCCGGGGTTTGCTGTCACCTGTGACCCGTGCAATTGCGGAAGGCCACCAAAAGGGTGTATCCTGCCCTCTCCCTTCATCTCAGCCCTCTCCAGCCTGCGAATCGCACCGATCAAATGGCTGCAGAGCTTCAGTGGATTCACCTAATGAAATAAATATATAATTTTTTTCTTAATGGCTGAGTTTTCTGCGGGATCGAGTCACTGAACTGACTCGCCCCGTGGCTGCACCAACACCAGACCTAATGCAGGAAAAGTGAGGGACGTACATGCAAGAGAAAGGGAACGGGCTCTTTCAGCAGCAGCCTGTTATTACCCCTAATTAGAGGTAATGTCAACCCGTTCTCTGGATCATTTATGCATGAACACAATCGGAGCAGGTGGCAGAAGTCCAAGTTTCTTTCCAGAAAGCCCTGAGAAATCTGTACACTGTCACAAGGATACTCACAGTTATTTTTTTCTGCTAAAAATGTACTTCTGTATTTTCTGTAGGAGGCTGAATAGGTTGTCTTAGTACCCTGTGATTAATGTGATCCGGTGCTGAGCACACCGAGGTGCTGCCCTCGGCAGAGCAGCTCTGCTAAAACAGATCTCCAGCTTCATATGCAAATCGGCACTTCCATTTGTTCCTGCTACTGCACCCAACCCGAATCAAGCCACCACAAAGTGGAAGTCATGGTAGATCTGCATTAAAAACAACATATTTGAACTTGCAAAAGGCAAATACAGGTTTGCCAGCAGTCCCAGAGAGGTTAAGGAAAACATCTTTGCAAATCTCATCTGAAGCAGAACTTAACATTTAGTTGATGGAATTTCTGCAGGGGAAAGATTTTTATCTACCATGTCTAGAAAAATTGTATTTCAGCTTCCTTCATAAAACAGAGAAATACTTAAATATCTAATATTCCATCCTAACCCAAGGTAAAGAAAGTATAGAATGGTAGATCTTACAGGATAAACAGTATTTTCAAAAGTGTATTAAGATTAGTCTGGCCCATTCTGTGCAATGGGAATTAACTGTTTTAGAGCTCAGTGGGGTGAAATGATCCCACGTCTTCATAGAGCCTTCTCCAGCAGAGAAGTTCAGCTCTGGTTTCAGCATGAGCCGTGCAGTACAACATTAATTAAACGACAGCTCCCAGTTCCAAGCTAACGAGGTCAGGATCCTGCACCTTGGCATGATTAGATGTTAAATAATTTAAGCTACATTAACATCCAGCAAAAAAAAGTTTTAGTGTTTTTTTCAGAGTTCAGCGCAGCCTATTGTATCACAATGTTCTGTGATATAATGTCAAAATGATGTGTTTTCCTTCTTTGACTGTGAAGAAGGCCAGTCTTTTGTTAGCCCTGGGATGTCCCATCCAAGCACTGCCTGATGGAGCCCAGCTCTGGGCACTGTTGGAAAACTGTGCCATGATCTGCTCAGGGGGAAAACCGGCCCCAACCCTCATCAGCCAGCACCAGGCATAGGAATTTAATATTGCTTCTGAATGTTTTTATCCTGTCTAATGTAGCTGTGGATATGGATATTCTCATCATCCACAACCTACACATTCCACCTCTCCTTTTCCTTCTCCAGTTCTTTTAAGTTTAGGATAGTTTTTTTTGTTATTGACACACAGATTTTCATGGTATAATGAACTGTAGTTGAATAGGTATCATTTCTGTCTTAAAACAAGCTTTAAAAAGTGTTTTCTATTTTTGGAGATCTATAGATAGAAACTGTGTTGTTTCTGAAACATTTACTTCCACACCTCCATAATGTGCTCTGATGTTTCCAGGTGTACATGATGGATACAGCCTTGGTGG